CAGCACACCATCAGTGGTGGCTGTGTCTAGGACAAAAAGCGATATCCTTGGATGAATAGATGGATTGAGTAACTGGCTGAGTTGTTATGCTGGACAAGTTTATCGAATGGAAGAATCGCCCAGTGGAGAGTTAGTTAGTTACTAGTTTTGGTGTTCAACTAATGAATGATGAATGAATGACTAAATATATGCTGAATAGAACATTCATAGTCAGAGTAATACTGGTGGTAGCTTGTCGAGTTTATCAAGTAGTGAAATAAATCGTGTGCGGAACGGATAGCTAGAAGATATACGACGTGCTGAGATAATTCATTGCTTAATGCTCATATTATGGCTAGTGATGCTGGTGTTGGTGTTGGTGTGGTGGTGCATTGGTTTCTCGTTGAATCGAGTAACGACAAAACAACAATAAAGCCGAATAAGATTTGGAAGAACAAGAAGCAGAATAACAAGAAGGAGGAGCAAAAGAAGGAAGATACTCTTCGAGTAAGAAGACCAATTCCCAGATCGCAACCAAAATATCAATAGATCCATCCACCAAAAAGCCTATAAACATTAGTCTCTTATGTGGGTGGATTCCTTGTGCACATCGTTATCGCATAGCAAAGCAATCCACTGCTGTCTAATTGGTTGACTTAACGAGCTCTAGTATTGAGTTAATGGATTCAGTTGATTTGATTTTATCGCACATCTGAAATATATACCCACAAAGGCGATTGCAGTGAGATGATTGCAATTTTCAGCTCATGTTTATGGTGTCACTAGCACGTTTTTTTGTATGAGGAGAGATTTCTATTTTTTGTTTTGAAGAGAAAGTGATGAATTAGAGTTTTCTTTGGAGATATCGTAACATTTTATTGACATTTCTTATTTGTTATTTCTTAACTTCGACGGTTTTTATAATGTAATTCATATTGATCTTTTTTGATCACTTCAATCACAAACACTCGATATTCGTTTGTGTTATACACATTGTCTTTAAGAAAACCATTTGTTGCAGGAGATTGTTGTTCTCATTCAGCAATCACGATAACCACAGTATAGAATAATATGAATCGAATTGTCTATTCTACCACCACCATCGTATCAGTCTCGAATCCCATTTGTCACCTAAGGGCGCTTTTGATGCACTCATGCCGCAGACACCCTTTTGAGCACATGGCCAGCCATCGTTGTCTTTCGCTGTTTCGTCCGACAATTTATTGCTCACGTTTGGCTCAT